ATTTCTTGTAGATTATATATCAAGGCACATATTTTTTTAATTACTTTGCACTTGTAATCTCGAATCAAAATAAATCCCCCTCCTCTCTGCAGTGACATTCTCTGATGCCTGTTTACTGGCACAAATGGGGGACAGCATGTCACTCACATGAGACCAAACCACAAGCAGTAAACCACAATGATCCAATCAATTCCCAATGGATAAAATCAAGTCACACCCAACATTTTTTCTTCAAGTAGCCATTACACTCCGATATACATCAGAAAAGACTTTCGCAACTAGTTTTCTGTGAGCATACAGAACTTTACATACAACATATCATCTCTTCTCTAGAACCTCAGATGGGATCTCAGTAAGTGTTTGTTGGAGATTGGGAAGCTACCGGCAATGTGCAACGTCAGCTGGCGATTGACTGTTTGTATAGTATTACTCGCTCCAGGCATGTTGCGCTGGTGTTAGACGGGTCATGTGGGGTCATGGGTGTCTAGAAAGTTTCTCAACTCTTCTCCACCCTCGGCCACTTTGCCAATCAAATTCCACTCAAGGGCAATGGGGAGTCTCTTTTCATATGACAACAAAAAGCTAAAGCGGCTGTCTAGAGGACACGATTTGCCTTTCCGCTGACGCTTGACCTATGAGAAGACACAAAACCCTCCAAGGCAATACATATGCCACACAAACACACTGTCTATCTTCCTAAATGATGTATACAAACTACCATTCAAAGGTTTGGGGTCAGTGGGATTTAAAATGAATACTTGCACATTAAATTCATCAAAAGTGAAATTAGAGTTTTTCATTTTCAAATAAATGCTGTTCTTTTGAACTCTCAATTCATCAAAGAACCTTCATTTGGATTAAATTCATAATTCATGTCTTTGCTCAATAGAAGTATTGCTTATCCTTCGTATTTCTTCCACTAAAATATTAAGCAGTTTTTCTAAATTGCTAAAACACTATTCTCAATAACCTAAACCAATTTGTCAAATAAATCACTTTTTCTGTAAAACATTAAACAAGTTCAGGTTGTTAAAACGCTGTTTACAGAAAGCATGCACTCTCTTTGCAAACCTCTAAACACACATTTTGCACTGTGATGCACTTATGTTTCAAAATGCTAAACCACTGGAGGCAAAAGTTACAGTCAGGAAAAAGTTAAAACACAACCCGAAGACATGATGCTGAGACACAAAATTAATCTCTCATTGACCTTGATTTTGCAGTTACACAACTCATTTGACCATACTGTAACATGCTTTTCATTTAGAGGGTTTTTTTTTATTACTTTTGGCCTTACCTTATTTTCACATAAATGATCTGTAGAATTAATATTTTTGACTCATGTCATGTGTATGATCTGAAAGCACAATCATTCCATTTCAACTTTTACCCATTTACTAAGCATGAAAAAAACAAAAAACAAAAGGATGTATGTTTTTCAGAGGCTGTGCTTCAGTAAAAAAAAAAAAAAAAAAAGATTCTATTGCCATGGGCAACGTCTTACCTTTTCACAGAAGAATGCAGCTTGAACCTCTCTCATTATGAAACTTCATGATGATTAACTCTGTGTGCTACGTTACCCATAAAGTACCCGACACCTAAGCGCAGGGATTACTGTGGATGTTTATACATCCAGAACAGTATTCACCTCCAAAACTACCATTCTGTATTATTACACACATTTATCACTTTTTGATAAGGTTATATAAGGCCATGGCCGCAAGACAGAGATTATGTGTAACTTATTTGTCAGTTGTTTTTAATAGACGTGAAAGGTCAAATATTACTCATTTGCAGAGTGAGAAATATAACCACTCTATGTCATGCATTTAGAAAACAATTCATTTTCTCAAATCAGCCTAGATTATGCAACAGACTAGATGAATATTTTAAATAATTTCTTGGAGGTGGCACATGCACCGCTCTCGTTTATTGGCTGATTTTTGACAAAAGACAACTGAAAGAGGGCAATTATTGTTCAGCCTCCATGGAAACACTGCTCACAACTCAACAACGCAATTACAAGGATGACATAAAAGTGCAAAATGCAAGAAAAAGAGCTCAATTCACTGCCTATTGGTCAATATATGAAAATGGCACCTGTGAAAAGCAGTGTGATACAATATTGGTCTCTCTGCTTTATTTCACCATTTCCAAGTGGAATCAACCAATTGGATTCTGCACACTACACTGAAGATTAGGTGATATATCTTGCCACCATGACAACACTAATAACAAGGTTCACTGCTAATATGGACACGCCCATCAAAAAGAGCAATATTATTTATCTTTCACTTATCCTCTTGTGAAATCCAAATCACACAGAACAGTGTCATCACCCTGTTTTATTCGGTTTCTTTTTAAACAGTCTTAGTTTATTTGGAATATGACGCAAGGTTTATCCTGTAGATCTTTTACGAGCAGAGGTGGAGATACCATGCATGAGAAGCCATGGCCTGAGGGGACAGCACTACCTGATCCTGGATTAAGAGACACGTCCCCACATTCGTAGAAAAAAAGCATTAACCCTTTGAGCCGTCGAAGACAAACATATAAACGATCATGTTGTGAACTCTACATCATTACATTAGAAAAGGTTGGTGTCATGTGCAAGTGTATAAAAGCTTGTTTAGTTGTAAAAGGATATTGTGGGAGGTTGATGAATGGAAAGAATTCACATATTCGCAGAGCTCCTGGTTTAGGATCTGGTAGCAGCATTCACTGTGCCATTGTGCAGCCTACAGATATGTAATCAGATAAACAAGAGATTAACACGTAACATCTGCCAGACCAGAGTTATGGTGCACATTCTATAAGTCTGCATTCTCCACACGTACCGGTCATGAGTGCAGATCCCACTTTATAGAGGGAGCTGCAGAAAGCTAAACAACAAAACTCAAATCTATTATTTTACTGTATAAATAATTTGTTCCATTTACTCCAAAAAAAAGGTTTGCATGTTATTTTGCACAATCCATTGTGCACTGTGTAAGCTACTTTTGAGCTACTCATGTAACTCAACGCGTTTTTTAATTTTTTTAATTATTTGTATATATTTATTATTTAAAGTCACCATTAAATCAAAATTGACAGTTCTTGTTTTTTGTTTTTTTGTGGATTACAGTATAAATGATTTATCCGTACACATATTATTTTTTATTAATGTGCCATAATCTTTAATTAAAATAATTTCTCCTTTTCTCTTCTCTTCTCCCTTAAATGAGATCGCAGCAATAGCAAACCGCAACAATCCAACAATAGACAAAATTAAGTCCCTTCCTGCTTTATTTTCTATTTTTGAGAAACCATTTTATTGACATACATCACAAGAAGTACGTTTCATGATGACTTTAAAGCAAGGCACCACAGCTAAATAGAGTAATATATATACATATACATACATACACACTACTCTATTTAGCTGTGGTGTCTTGCTTTAAAGTCATCCAAGGGTTTTGTGTGATATCTGGGGCCAGGGTTTGATTTTGACCAAAGAAAATTTGTTTTTGACTGAAATATTTGAAATCGACGTGAACGTTTGAAGTTTGTACAAATTGATGTGTAGTTATGAAATTGTTCATAGTTGTGAGAAAATGGTGAATTGTTTCAACTGTTTTCAAAAATTTGTAGGCCATGCTGGTGCCAGTTTTTTGGGGACAATTCACATTACCTTAAATTTAAAATATACACGTTTTATACCTTTCAAGCTTATGGCCCACCATAGAAATGCTCAATAAATCAAAACAGAGCAAACTAGTCAGATAAATGAAGCAAAGCTAAGGAACGGTAATGTCAGTTTCAGCACTAATGAAGCATGTTTCAGTATTAGCATTTATTTTATAAAGGCTTTACAGTTTGTTTGACATTCTGTTGTAGTAATATATCTAGATAACTACGTGAATGTAGTAATTACACAATATGGGGAAAACCAGAACTGCATTTAGCTGTAATAATAAAACCCTAAACCAACAAAAATGACTTGTGTACCCTTTATGCATCAACTGGCTTGTAAGAACTAGAAGCTTTGTGATGAGGTAGGATATCAGCATAGAAACAGAAAGATAGGAATGGCACATTACAAAACACGTAGCAAGGTTTCTTCTGAGAGATAACTTACCAAATACAAGATATTTCTACACAGGAGGAAGGAAAACATACTTTGTATGCTATGCCACAACCAAAAAGGAAATATCTGATTGACATTTTGGTGCTAATGTAACTATAAGAAACTTGAAAGGTTTGAAGAACATTAAGAGCAAAGATAAATGTATTTTAAAGGAGTAGTTTACTTTTGAAAAAAACTTTTGCTGATAATTTACTCACCCCCATGTCATCCAAGATGTCCATGTCTTTCTTTCCTCAGTCGAAACATTCCAGGATTTTTCTCCATATAATGCACTTTACTGGTAACCAAACGGTTCAAGGTCCAAAAGACACTTTCAGTACAAACTGCAAACTGTTCGAAGGGCTTTAAACGATTCCAGACGATGAATAAGGGTCTTATCAAGCGAAACGATCGCTCATTTAATAAATAAATAACAAAGTTTAAGTTTATAAGCTCACATAGTCGCCTTGCTCTGTTCTGTGACGCACGTTCGTGACTCTCCTGTTCGAACTCGTTCATCAAAATGAACAAATCTTATCCGAGTCATTTGGTTCATTCAATGAACGAAACGAACAAATTGACTTGGAAAAAGATTTGTTCATTTTGATGAACGAGTTCGAACAGCAGAGTCACGAACGCGCGTCACAGAACAGAGCAAGGCGAGCATTTGAGCTTATAAAACTTAAACTTTGTTATTTTATTTTTAAATGAGCGATCGTTTCGCTTGATAAGACCCTTATTCATTGACTCGAATCGTTTAAAGCCCTTTGAACAGTTTGCAATGAAACTGTCTTTTGGTCCTTGAACCATTTGGTTCCCAGTAAAGTGCATTACATGGAGAAAATTTCTTTTCGACTGAAGAAAGAAAGACATAGACATCTTGGATGACATGTGGGTGAGTAAATTATCAGCAAACGTTTTTTGAAAAGTTAACTACTCCTTTAACAACAGAAATTACACATCCTTCCGTATATTTAAAATATACTAAATTCAAATATAAATTACACATGCTCAGCTGGTGCAAGAGAATTACTTAGTGTAAACCATCAATGGAAGACTCAAAGTGCCCTCAGAAACCAATATTGCCTCGTGCTAAGCAATAGCCCAGCTTGTTTTGGTTGCCTATGACAGACATCAGACCCACATATGCTTCGATTAGAATGGGTTGATTCAGCACAAGAACACCGTTGGCTTTTCCAGGTACAGGATTCTTGCTGTGGGCTTTCTGCGCTGCTAAAGTCAGCTCCTCCCTGAAGCTTTGAATCTAAATGATGAAGAAAAATATGGAGACGTCATTTATTCAGCACTAAAACACACGGCAATTTGACTCAACTGGTGTTCGTGAGGTTGGCGGTTTCTGCTTGTCAAAACATTTTTGTCAGCACTTTTTTTATCAATCGTTCTTCATTTTTTTGTTGAACCTGCTGTTCACCTCAGTAGGCGGGGTGGAATGTGAGGAATGGGAATTTGTGGCTGTGGGATTAGACACCCCCGTAGTCCAAATGACTGGTTATGCGATCTGTGAGGTCACCTGCATAAGACCCTTCGCTCACACCTTGAACTACATACATACTTTAGTGAAGCTAAGTGAACCAGGGACCAAAACAAATCTAATTTTCAACATTTTTGATTTCAGTGATTTTTCATGACATCGCACGACATTGATCATGACATTATGTTAGGTCTACTGATAGTTAGCAAAACAACAACAAAATAAAATATCAGTTTATCTCTTTATCCCTTGCAAAAAAAAAAAAAGAACTCAATTGTATTGAATGTGCACTTGTAGTGAACTTCAAATCTTACAAGTAGCCTACATATTTATTTCTATCCTCGCCGATAAAGTAATGCATTTTTTAAATTATTATCATTTTAAAGCTACACTGTGTAACTCTTTTAGTTTATTCTTAGCTAAAACACTTAGTTCTTTCAAAAATATATGTGCTCATTAATGTATATTTACTTCATTCAAGTAATAAAGTATTCTCGTGAGTGTATAATATGCCATTGAAAATACATACGGGTAAGGGGTTCTAATGTCGGTCGCCATGTTGCCCCTCCATCTTGAAAGTACATTAGCCAAAGAGGGACAAACCCGTTAATTCAAGCTTCGCCTTTCGCGTTTACGTTTGAATTAACACTCATGGACGAGGTCGAACTAGAAGCCATGTTAATCTTGGACTACATTGGCCACCGTAGGAGTTAAAACGAAATCGGAATTGAGAGGAACAGAAACTAATATTCACTGGATGGTCATATACCTTTTCACCACTACATGGGGGTAAAAATCACACAGTGTAGCTTTAAATCATTATATTTCAATAATGATTTGTCATGCTTTAACCTGTTAAAAATGGACACCCCCGGTACAGGGGCATTGGGGCTTAAAGAAGTGTATTTACTCTATGTTGGCTAACATACTACACATACTAAAGTAACTGTAGTGTGTTATTCAGTATTACACCGTCTCCTAACTACACGCGATGCGACGCCGCGACATGCGATAAAAGGTATCTTTTCCATGCTGACTGGAGGCGATGGCGACACACGAAAGTTTCTAATTTAGAAACGGTTCCTATTTCTGCGATGACGCGGCTGACAGAATGAAGAAATTACACTGGTTATGAGTACACATTTATTTTTAGTTAAAAATAGGTCACTGTGCCACAAGCGATAACAGATAATTTACCTCAGATTTTGAAAGCATATAATATAGCGTTCAAAATGAATTCTATGCAAACATACAACTGTATTTCATAACAAAATTAGTCAATGAGTATATTTTGTTAATGTTTTGATTTTAAATAATGTTATTTCTTGATTTGATTATGTCCTTACCCATTTACAATGCGAGTGCGGGCCAGCAGTGCGCTTTCATGCTGTTCTGATCTGGCTGTGATTTTTGATTGACGTGTGGCGTCTTACAGTCGCGTCGCGTCTAGTGTGGACAGACACACTTGCTGTTGCTGGAATTTTATCGCGTGCAGTTAGGACATGGTGTTAGGTAAAACAGGGTTAAAGGCCCCTAAAGGCGGTGCAAATTCTGACGGTCGGAAGATCGTACATCCACGCACACTTTACGAGAGACTTTATCCGAAAATCGTGCGGAGGCAGTGATATATGACACGATTTTACCACCTGCTGAATTCCGAAGAAATCGCACGAAGTTCCGGGCCAAAAACCCTGATAAAAACTGCTCTCTCAGACTGGGGAATCAGTGTTCATCAAATTGGTGACAATGATCACTTACTATTAACAGTCTCAAACCAGGACAATTCAATGGTTGTTGTGGTTACTGTATGTCATTATTTCAACATATGTGTGCAGGCAACAATCAAGATATGCATTTGTAAATCCAGCTATATTTGCTTCTTATTAATTAAATCCAGGCAATCGGTTGATGAAAAATGATTAAAATTAAGACACAATTTGTACAAAACGAAGTTGACTTGAAAGAAAGGCTTTCTACAAAACAACACTTAATGAAGTGGTCAAAATAATGTCTAGCCATGTCTCCTGCTATATTGCGTAGATCATACTTTTCATAATCAACATAGATGAAAAAAAAAAAAAAACATTATAATAAATATGAAACTAAATGCGCTTATTATGGCTACAACACATAGACTCTATTTGTTCAAATTGCTGCACATTCAATTCATTCAATTCCGAATTTTGCACACAATTTGAAAGGTGTTTGTTTGTACATATAAAACATATTTGCAGCATTTATCAAGTTCACAAATAATTGTGCATGCATTTATTAATCAGTATGATACTAAAATCATAATAAAGTAGTAGGCTTCCCTTTCAATACTTCAAATTTGCTGTGGCGGTGCCATTTTCATCTTTCTTCAGTGGATTTCTCCAGTTCCTGATTGGTCAAATTCAGATAGACTGACAAATCGGCTCATTCAACTGCACACAACTCACAAATTCAAGCCGACAGCTCCCAAACTTTTTAGAGTTTAAAATGTTTAAATGTTTGAAAATTATTGTGAGGTATCTTCCTAGCACACGACACGAGCCGCAACATGTGAGCACAACCAATTTCCGCGCGATTTCTCCCGAGTGAAAAAAAATCATCTGCGAGCTCGTAAAACAGCAAAATAAATAAATAAATAAAATAAAAATCGCGCCGTGTACGCCCGCCTTATGTATAAAAAAAATGCTTTTCACTACTCCCATAGAGTATGATTGAAGAAAAAAGTGTGTGTGAAAATAAATCATAAAAGTGGTTAGTTTGTTTAAAAGGCATACTGTATAAATGTATGAGATGGCAGGGTGGACCTTTTACCCAACATAAAAGGTAAAAGGCCAAACAGAATGGGAAAATAGACACATATTATTCATAAAAAATAATAGAGAATAAAGTACCCTAGTGCGCCTTCAGCCCCATTGTACCCTATATTTCAAGTTTACTTTATTTTAAAATGTACTAAATTAACAATTTCATCATTAAAATGTGTAATTAAATATAAATATATCTAAATACATTAACATACAAGTGACATTATAGTATATTTTAGTTTCCCCATAAACACTTGTTAGTACATTTAGCAGTACACTTTAATAATATTTCAAAGTCAGTAGAGAAATTGTGACATTACATATAAAGATGTACTTAAGTCCTAGTTAAGTGGGTCAACAGGCACTCTACTTCAGCTAATTTCAGCTAATTGCACTTAATAAAAGTAATAATATATTTTCATTTATTGCAATAAACACAATTAAGTGTCTGAAAACATAATGTTCTGTTTGCACTACAGTATATTCTATTAGTGTATTATTAGGTAATTTTTTTTTTTAAGTATGCAAAAGTGTACTTTTTTTCGCAAGGGAAAAGTAGATTTAAACAAAAGAGGTTTTATATGCATTTAAAAACGAGCAAAAAAACAAACAAAACAAAAACAAACCTACCAACATACACATAAAATAAAAATGATAAAGCAGATGGTAAAAAACAAAACAAAACAAACAAAAAAACTCTTTTTGGCAATAGGTGGATTTTTAATCAAGTATATTTTTAAGCTATAAACTTGAATTTGGCAGACCAATACATAACTACGCCAATTTGTAAAAGAGTCCTGGTGGAATTGGTGAGCCTTTCATAAATTAACACTTATATTCAGTAACATACGTCAATTTATTTGCAGAAAATTTCCAATGACCCCATTTGATTTCGAATGAGAAACGCTGCCTTAAGTAACCTTGCCTCAATCCTTAAGTTGTCATTCTTTGAAATCTTAATCATGTAGTGAAATAAGTATTGCACCACTAATGTTAACTGAACACGTCATTTCTTCCTAAGTCGACTTCCAAGAAATTGTGGATTCCTACTCCACCTCTGCAAGTCCTCTGGCAGCTTCTGTAACACTTGTGAGTAGGCTACCAAGTTTTGAGAGTGGCTAACTGAGCTAATTTAATGGTTGGGTTTAGTCTTGATAGTTTAAAGATCTTATAGGAATATGTAAAGGGGTAAGGAATGAGACCTGTCTGTGATAAACGTGTTCTGTGTGTTGCATTGTAATACTGACCTCACACAGGTGACCCAGCTGCTCATTAGCACCGCGGACAGGGTGATAGGTGAATGAACAGAAAGGATAGTCAACAGAAAAAGGATTCCAACGAGACGTGAAAGATGGCTCTCGGAGTTTATCCCAAAACACCCGCACACCCTCACCTTCTCTCCTGAAAAACACACACATCGTAAGGCTTGTATACTGGAAAACAATGACAGATAAATAATAGCATTGCTAGAGAAATCTACATTTACAATAAACTCAACAGGGGACTGAGTTCAGAAAAATAAGTTCAGAGAAGATAAATAAACAAATAAACAATATTGATTTATTTCTAATTATTTATTTGTTCTATTTATTTGTTCTGTTTATCTATTTATATTTATTTTTTTCTATTACTTTTTGTTTGTTTATTCTATTTATGCTCATTCATTTACTCAATTATTTCAATTTTTGCATTTATTCTATTTATCTATATTTATTCTATTTCTATTTATTTATTTCATGTATCCTTATAGAAATGAATAAATAAATAGAACTAAAAAATATTAACCTGTCTTATTTTAGGAAGTGGGTACATCACAAGAGAAGAGTCACATTTGGGGGTCCCTGAAAACCCCTGACTGCAAGACTAGTGGGAGAGTCCGATGATAGCAGAGAAAAACACAATCAAAATGCAGACATGTAGATTTTACAAATATAATTACACAAACACATTTCATGAGTTTGCTGAATCATGCACAAAAAGCACTCAACTCAACTGTACAAAAACAGGAACAAGTGGCACATATCTTTTTTTTTTATTGCAACATCTGTAATCCCTTAATACTAACAAGTGTATTATCTGCTCAGGGATTCACAATTTCATGCTTTCAATTAGGTCAGCTTGACCCCAGACACCCCCACAAGCTTCCCTCCCTGCCAAAACTGTCACCATTTCTCTTCAGGTCGCCTCCTTTATATACAGCCCAATGTAATGTTTGCTAGCTTAGAGGCAATTCCCTCCGCTCATCAGATTTTCTTTCATCCCCTCTGCCTTTCTCCTCTGCCATGTTAAGTAAATATTTTTTTATGAAAAGCCTAGAGGGGATGTCTTTATTTTCCAGGCTGATGAAACCTCATAAGACAAGAGAGTGCCTGGCAGCAAACACAGGGCTTTAAAACCTCCAAACATTCACTCTTTGTAATGTGTTGGCACCCTTCCATTTTTTATAAGCATCTTTCACAACAGACAATGTACCGTTTCTCCATCAGTCATGGAATGGAAAGCTTTGATTTCTCCAACTGTCCATGCAATCACACTCTTTTTTTAACACCAATTTGAAAGTATTGCATCACATATTGGTGCAACAAAACAAATCAATAAGCAATAAATAGCTTTTACCCTGTTAATTTGAGTTTTTGTCAAGCTTGTTGACCATTTGGTTTCCATTTCTGTGCCATTGCTCCGGGTAGCCCCGCCCACAGTAAATTGTCATTGGTTTAAAATCACATTCCTCGTAAATGTATATTAAATTTTGAATATGTTCTAATTGGCTGTTACTGTGCTGCATCCCACAGCGTTTTTGCGTTTTCACAAAGAAATCTGACATCATGCCTGGTTATACTATTCTAAATGAGGCATTATAGAAACACATTTCCTTCATTTCCTTCTTTACAGAATGATTCGTAAACAAAGATATCTGTGAAATCTGAGAAGTTTTCTTATCTTCATGAAAGATAGCTTTTAATGGAATGAGCTTGGTATAAATTCAATTTCAGGAACTTCCTATCCTTAATAGAGTTTTTGAAATGGAAGTAAAAGTAGTTATGCTTCACTAGTGACATTTGATAAACGTGTGGCCTGTAAAAAACACTTCTCGTGTGTCTCGCTGAGATTGATGTGCCCTTCAGCACAACACCATAGCCATTAAACAAACGTAACCACATAACCACTGACCTAGCGGCCCTCCTTCATTCTCATACAGGCTCCAGGTAAGGTCAAGAATCTACTGTAATCACTACAAAGCATTCAGTCTTTAGCCTCGAGAGGTCTTCTTTTTTTAGCTGATAGATGGATACATACTTTTCTCAACATTCACTCTCCCCTCCACTTGAATGAAATATTTCAAACTTATGGCACATAGCATTCTAAAAAAAAAAAGGTCACATCATTTAAATGTAAATATTTAATTGAAGTTAAAAATATCGATTAATATATCGCAGAATTTATCTAAATAAAACTAATGTTTATGTGCTAAATCAGGTAGAAATGGCTCTTTGAGGAAACAATTGGGGGTTATATTTGATTGCAATTTATTTAGTAACCACAGTCTTAATCATATGATTTTAAGATATGATATCATAATATATGTTGCACGTATAATAAGGGAGGATACATGAGAAATGAATGTAATACAACCTTATTTACTGACCGCATGCATTCTAGACATTTATAAATCAATTATTATGGTCAGATATTATAATAATTTGCATTACGCTTTTGCCAAAACTTTTAACTCTGACTCTTTTTTTCGTTTTATTCTAAGTGATATATTCTGAATACATTGTGTGTCATATGTCAATTCATTTAACTTTAACAGTACATTACATTTACATTTATTAATTTAGCAGACGCTTTTATCCAAAGCGACATATAGATATCACACGCCTCTGGAGCAACTAAGGGTTAAATGTCTTGCTCAGGGACACATTGGTGTCTCACAGTGGATTCGAACCCGGGTCTTTAACACCAAAGGCACGTGTCTTATCCACTGCGCCATCACCACCCCATATGAATACAGTATACCGAAACGACACGATTCATTATTCCTTTAACATTCCAAACAATTAATTATTGACTGAAAATCTTCCACTCCACTGCAACTCTTACATGCCATTTTCCTTCAAACTCGCACGTCGTGATTGGTTATGACACAAACCAAAGGCATTCCTATTATAAGAAAAATAGAGAGCACAATTATGGACTACAACATGGTCATAAGAACTATCATCAATATCCTGCTACGTTGTACCACAGAAACAAAAAATGAAAGGCTTTAAGATATGGAAATCATGAATAAAACATCGAGTAAAGGGGGGGGGGGGGGGGATAAAGGAATTGCATTCCTTTGAGTATGTGTAATTGATGATTTTTCATTAGAGCATATGACCCTTTGTTTAAAGAATACACAGAGGTGTCGGTGATTGGAATCTTTAAGCATAAAGGCTTTTATGAAATCAGATGCATATCTTCAACACGAGACAATCGGTGCAAACGTATGCTTAAAACGTGCCTGTTGCATTTCCAGGTGTGTCTTATTTTGGCAAAAACCAACAGACTCCAGAACACACCTTAAGCAGGACCAGTTCCTGCCAAACACACATACCTTAAAGCTACAGAGAAAGAGTGACTCTTTAGATAGAAAAACAAAAAACAAAAAACATAACTACAGGGCAAGGCTGTGTCTCCAGCTCTCACGATGCTGCCTCTGTTTACACTAACACTCTCAGACCTTGACAATGGCTGCTGAGGTCTTGCGGGCTACACCCTGCTGAATAAACTGTTGTGTTGAGAGAAAAAGAGAAGAAATGTGATCATGGGGTGGCACAAAGCCCAACTTAGAAAAAAGGCTGAAAATTTGACTTTGTTGAGCATGTAAGGTTTTTGTATGTTTGCTTAAAAGCGTAAAGTGTGCTTTTGTGTGTACATGAGCACGTGCACACGCATACATTGTTTGTGCCAAAGCAGTTGTGTATTTTACTGTGTATGTGAGTTGATCCAGATGATTCCAGAGGTAAGCTATCAGTACGCGCGGGCCAGTTGAGACAGGCAGAGGGCTGGGCTGCAGCAGCCAGCGGGCTGGGACATTCACTGTTCATGGTACAGGCTTGAGCTTTCACTGATCATTGCAACCCTGTCTCAGACACACACACACACACACTTTAATTCCATCACTCTACATGATTGAGAAAGATTGAGAAGGGGAGGGAAAGGGAAGGATGAAAAGAAAAGGTGAAAAATGGATGCTAAGATTTGTCATGCATGAACCTTTCCCGAGAAACGTTACACACAGGAGTGCATTCCTAGAAATAAAGTCACACTAAATTTGATGTTTCCTGCTGGCCATAAACTTGGAATAATGGCCAGCAGGAAACATTCAATTTAGCGTACAGTACTGATGTACTACATTTTAAGGAAAGTAATAATCAAATATGTGCTGTAACATATCTATTTTTTGTAAAAAGGTTAAATAAAATTCAAATTAAAAATATATATTTTTAAAATGTATATTTATTAGGGCTGTCAAAATGAATACAACACGGAAGTACTTAAAATGTAATTCATCAACTGGTTGCTGGAGACAGGCTCCAAAAGAGATTCAATCCCATATATCCCCAGTGTTAATATGCCCAACTTTAAAGCAGAAAAAAAAAGAAAAAAAGTTTACAGCCAGGTACAAAAACTGGTTTTGGTCTTTATAGCAAATTTTGCCCTTCATGACAACTGTGAGGGGTGCATTTTTTTACAACTCCTTTTAAAGGAGTGGTTGATTATGATTTCACTTTTCTAACTTTAGTTAGTGTGTAATGCTGCTGTTAATGTTGCATTAACAACATCTGTAAAGTTACAATGCTCAAAGTTCAAAGCAAAGGAAGATATTTGCTTTTAAAGAAATCATTTTTTAAAGACTACAACAAACGGCTGGTAGGGACTACAGTACATGAGATTCCTACAGGGTTAGTGACATCACTAACCTTAAAATGTACATAAACCCCACCCCCGGGAACATGTGAACACCTCCATGTTGAGAAGAGGAAGAATTGTTGCAGTAGAGCACATTTGTGAGTCTGCTCAAGTTGACTCATCCGTCTTTTCACATGCAACACAGTACGTAACACAAATGCAATAGCATGTCACTCTGATGGCATCTTACAACAGTTCCCACACGAGCGATTTAATAGATTATGACAGAATATGCTAATCAAAGACTTGAAGATAGTTAACTCCAAATCAGCAACATAAATTCATCAACTAACCATTCAGAACTGTGGGTTAATCGGAGCTGCTAACACACACACACACGTACTTGAAACTCCGCCCTCTGTGCCGGGAGCAGCAGTCCATTTGCATTTAAAGGGATAAACAAAATGACACATTTTTGCTCACTCTCAAAAAGGGACAATTTT